GCAAAGTAAGATGCCACACAATTACCTTTGAAAATCATCTCTCTCAGCTACCCCACCATCTTCCCTGAAATCTTGTCTGTTTGAAGTGGCACCTCCTCATGCTGCAGCTCCACTTTTTGTCAGTCAGACTTGCTCAGGCTGATGACAAAAATGAACAGCTACTTGCCTCAACACCTTCCTAGAAAAACAGAACCAATATAAGTAAAACATGATGACTGAGGAATGTTAGTCCGTTTTGTGTATTGGCAACAGTGTTTACTGATTTCTGGCCAAATGCACTTAAAAGTGAGGGTGCAGATGGACCAGGAGAATATAATTTGAAGACAGTAGGTTGCAGGTGCTTAAATTAAGTCTTTAGTCTATTTACAGAAGTTTTTTGCCAATGATGAGGCATGAAAAGGGAGATGCCCAAGTGTGTCTATCAGAGCAGGCAGGGAGCAGTCAGGTTCAGATCCTGTAGGACAGGTGGTCAGAATATAGGACTTGGGGAAGGTAAGAAAGGACTAGACAACGACTTTTCCACAGGAAACACTTTAGACAGTAGGACATAGGTTTAGTACTTGAATGGTATAGATTCAGATACATTTTCTATTGTATACTCCTTTGCTGACATATGCCAAGACACTTAGCTATTTCAAAAGGTAGAGTTAATCACAGATAGAATCAAATACACAATGAATTTTCAAATCCAGGATCTATAATGACTAGGGAATGATTAGTATTGCTAGCTAACTTTAAATGCCTGACTAGGTTTGAAGAATTGGAGTCTAATCTTGCTCGACAGCTGTTCTTCACTGACTCAGGAATCTTGTCTACCTGGAGAAGCATTGTGAGGATGAGTGTGTGTGTGATAAGCTGTGTATTTTACAACAATTGGATGCCATATACATTCAAACCATGTTCTACTGCAGACTAATAGTTGAGAGAAAAATGACAGATAGCCCTGAACCAACTAACCAGGAACATTTTCTCAACAGCCCAGATCTAACATGGAGAGATATGCAGCACCTGGTAGTGTGGACCTCAGAATATGATCCACTGGCTGGGAATCCAGGATGGAAAAAGAACGGAGCAGGACTGATGGTCAACAGCCGATTTGGGTTTGGACTACTCAACGCCAATGCATTGGTAGATTTAGCTGATCCCAGAAGATGGAAAAGTGTACCAGAAAAGAGGGAGTGTATTGTCAAAGACAAAAGCTTTGACCCAAGGTAAGAATTTGCATTAGCAGTAAACAAGCTTATGTCTATCTTAGCAAAGCCTGAAGGATCATAGAATCATAGTATCAACTGGGTTGGAAAAGACCTCCAAGATCATCAAGTCCAACCCTACCATGGTTACTAGACCATGGCTCTAAGTGCCACATCCAGTCTCAGCTTGGAAACCCCCAGGGATGGTGAATCCACCACCTCCCTGGGCAGCACATTCCACTGCCTGATCACTCTCTCCACAAAAAATCTCTTCCTAATATCTAACCTAAACCTCCTCCCCTGGCAGAGCTTGAGTCTGTGGCCGCTTGTCCTATGCTAGCTGCCTGTGAGAAGAGACCAACCCCCACCTGACTCCAACCTCCTGTCAGGGAGTTGCAGAGGGTGATAAGGTCTCCCCTGAGCCTCCTCTTCTCCAGGCTGAACATCCCCAGCTCCCTCAGCCTCTCCTCATAACACTTGTGCTCAAGTCCCTTCACCAGTCTCGCTGGTCTTCTCTGGACCCACTCCTGCACTTTGATGTCCTTCCTGAACTGAAAAGCCCAGAACTGTACATAAGATTCAGGTGTGGCCTCACCAGATAGCTTGGAACCAGACTAAGGGATTTCTTCCAATTCGTTTAGTTTTGCCTTACTGTATTCCTCAGGAGCAGGCAAGGAACATTTGCTTCTTTTTTTTTTTTAGTGTAAGACTGATGGAAATTACAAGCATGAAGTCTTAATAAAGAATAAGGTTATTATGTCTGCATGTGCAGACAGCATGTGGATGGATGATACTGTGAGGCTGAACCCAGTCAGCCAAAATACAAATGTTTAAACCACTATGAGGATATGGGTAAGAAGATACTGAAGTCTCCCAGGGATTTTTATTTATACAGATGCATAATGGGTCTTAGCAATTTGTCTCCTGTGACAGGCATGATATGTGTTGAAATCAAGGTGATTTAGTCACATGCGTAGCATGTCTCTTATGACACACAAGTGTCAAAGGCTCACTGAAAAGTCTTACCAGCCACATTCACATGTGTTCACAGCATAGTGAGCCTAAACTGAGCTGAACATACAGAAAAGTTATAATTAGTCACCGAGCTGGTTAATCAGTAAGGATATCTAGACTGTTTTTGTCTCCATTTGTTCACTTACGGATTTGTTGTCGAGAAAAAATTATCTGTTTCAAAAGCTGAAATTACACCATGTGGATGCATCAAAAATCTTCCTGCAGAAACATATTGCAGTGTTTTGTAGAGTCACTGCTTGGTAACCTTATTATTTATGCTGTTTTAATATCTATCTGCTTTTATGAGCTCTCTCTTTTCCACAGGATGTTGACCCAGTACTGATGTATGCAATACTTGTTGTTTATGTATTTTTATTGCAGTCCTCTGTGTTACATTATGAAAACAAAGGTTCCATGATTCTGAGTTTAGAATTATTTATGTGGAGATTTAGGTACCTATTCTCTTTGGAAGCAATGGGAATTGTGTGGAGAAGGCTATGCATAGTAGCTCTCTGTGCAGAGCATGAACAGAAGATGTTTGCTTTTTTAGCTTGAGGTGGCATTGACTACAAGGGGTTCAAATCACAGTTCCTGCTGCAGTATTTTAACTCCATCATAACAGCTCTTCTGGATATTTGAATAAGAGAACTAAGTCTAAGTCTGATGTGGCTATGTGATGTATCTACCTGCTAAGACTGGATTTTTGTAGTCTCTGTGGGACATCGATCTTGGGGTGTTGACAGAAATCTTTGATTGTCTAACTGGCTCACTCACTTTCAGAGTGTGTTATGTGAGTCTGTCTCATGCAGTGCCTATCACTTGGTCCACTTCAGTATTATCTGTGCTTCCAGAACTTCCTGTGGTTTTCACTGGAGCATTTGAAAACATGCTGAATGTAGAATTTGTCTTTACTTCTTCCTTTCACATCATTCTGAGATGGGCATTAAATGTGTCATTTATACTTCACATGATGATCCAGAATCAACAGTTCCTGTGAATAATCAAAGAACTTCTGTAATTTTGCCAGATTATTAAGAGCAAATGAAGAAGTAATCATTGAAATTCCCACAAAAGCCTGCGAGGGTCAAGAAAACTCCATTGCATCTCTGGAGCATGTGCAGCTCGAGGCAACGATTGAGTATTCCCGTAGAGGTGATCTTCATGTCACTCTGGTATCTCCATCAGGTACAAGAGGCAAAGACACACTTTGTATTGTTGTAGCGTGTAACATTTTTTTCAGTAAAAAAACTCCTCTTTTTTAAACCACTTCACTCATTTAAAAAGAGCTAAATATAACATTGGAAAATCCAATGAGGAGAGTGTGAGGCTAAAGCATCCTGGGAACTATAGAAAGCCCTTTTCAGCCCTCACCTGTTTTGGGTTATTTTTGTGGGAAGAGGTTTGAAAATCATACTTCAGAAAGTGAAGGCACAGTGTTTTCATTCTGGTAACAGGGCCCATGAAAACTGAGAGTTCCTGGCAGACAACAAATTTTAGTTCAGTAGTGCTTATCAGACTGCCTGTGATTAAACAGACTAATGGATAACTGAGGAAATCTGACTCCGTAGATCTCATGTAACTGCACCTCCCCCACTTTAAAACACAGTGTCTCTGTTAGGCACCTTAGTATAACTATACTGAATGAGCTAGAATATGGCAAACTGTCCTAACAAAGCCCTGAAATAACACCATAAGGAGAAGAAAAAATAAAGAATTAGTATAAACAGCTTTGTACAGAGTAAGATCTGTTAGATCAACTGGAATTATTGGAAAAAAAAGCTTTCAGATATGATTTTAAACAACAGGCTGATCTAATTTTTCTAAGTACCAATAATCAGGTGCTGCTGCCTCCCTTGTAGTATCATTTTGCTCTCATGGTTAAGCTTTTTTCCCTTGTTTCTTGCTGTTTTTCCACTTTCCTGCCAAACTGTACCAGCAAAAGTATGTAATTCCTTTTCTGTATTTATGGTGTTACCTTTAAATATGTTTATAAATTAAGACAAGGCTCCTTGGGGCTTTTCCCTGTTATGTAAATAGAGCTCACTTGCTTTCTCCTTACATGCAAATAAGCCTAACAAATTTCCTACGGTGTGGTAGAATCTCTTTAGCTACAGAAATGCTTGGTGAACTGCAGCATTTTTGTAATAATAGCAATGCAAATGCTTCTCACTGTGTCGGAGGACCAGGCTGTAACAATTTACATCCAACCACCAACAAACAGAGCTCGGGATAAGGCTGCTGTTCCACAGTACTGCATGAGTTGGTTTGCCTTCAAAACTTCCATTTCATAGGTTTCTTGGGACTGTTCATCAGTGGAAAAGACTGGTTGTGCCTGACCTCTGCTTCTTTATGTGCATTCTCGACCGTTTTGTGCTAGAGATTGAACATGGATCAAGATGTACCTTTTGAGTGTGACCTAACAGTTTATCTGTTCTTGAGTGCTGCTGTGAAAACAGTGAAGGAAAAGAGGGTATTTTCTGTCAAAGAGGGTATTTTCCAGATTACCTATGCTCTAGTGTGTTGGTTTCAGCCAGGATGGAATTAATTTTTTCTTCTCGATAGCTGGTACAGTTCAGTGTTTGATTCAGAGTGAATGAATTCAGTGAGGGAGTGTGCAAGGTGAGCAATGTGAAAAGTAAAAGCAGACACACATGAACAAACATATTGTTGATCTTGCACCAACACAGGGACCAGCACTGTCTTACTGGCTGAGAGAGAGAGAGATAAATCTCCCAATGGCTTTAAGAACTGGGACTTCATGTCTGTTCACACATGGGGAGAGAATCCAACAGGCACCTGGATTTTAAGGATTACTGATATGGTAAGTATGTCTATATGTTAACTAGCTGTGTTTGGAAGCTAATGCAGATAAAACCATCACTAACCACTACAAAGTATGCTGAATAGTGAGCCTTGTCATTAAGCAAGCTTAATGAGAGTTTGTTTAAAACACCCATCTGGATTAAAGGGTAAATAAAAAGGCCAGGGTCGCTTCTTGCTCTTTGCAAAGCACTGTCCGGATTTCTTTGACATGTATGTGTCAAAAAAATGCCATGTCTGTGTTTTTCATCCCAAACGTCACTGAAATAAATCACTTAATATAGTTTTCTGTGATTCATGGAGTGAAATACACAATCAAATTAACATGTGGTTAACTGCGAATTTGCTCTGCAGAAAGGACACTGGGTGGGTCTAGTCTTCTCCTGGTGCATGTGTGCAGTTTACACTAACTGAAAACCTTTTGAATTAATGAATTTCTGCTGGTTTCAGTGAGCTATTCTGATGTATAGCTTACCCTCCTTCCTTTCTGACAGTAGCTACTGCTAAACAATGTTTAGGAATTAAAGCCAAGAAGTCTACAGATATGAAATACATAAGCTCACTAATACCACCTGGGGATATGGATTACAACAGCATGACACCAGAATAAAGCTGCTTGATAGGCAACTGAAAAATCATTCCCTTCCAAGAGAGAGTGATCAAGCATACTTCATCTTGTTGAAACTGTCCGTTTATAAGCTTGTCATTAAGGGTCAGATCCTGCCAGAAATGGAATGCTTTCTGCTACACACTGAGCCTCCAGCCTCTATTGGCCTCAAATTGTAAACAGGAGGATATTGCCAAGTGCTGAGCAGATGTACCAGGCAGTAGAAGTAAATATTATTATCAACAGGGTAGTGTTAATGCTGCAGGCTTATAGATAACCCCATGGTTACAAATGCCCTGCTCTCTGAACACATTTTTGGGAGCAAAGTTAAGAAGAGCATTTTGTCTGCAATTATCTCTCATTTTTCATTTTCAAGTGAGAGTTCCTGAACCTTACAATAAAGCAATGCTTTTATCCTGAAGGCATAAAACAGTCTTTCCTCAGCTTGTAGGCTTCTGTGATTCCTGAAATAAACTTTCCTATTAATGGCCCTGACTGAAATCACAGATTCCCGTGCAGAGATACTCATAAGCTGTAACTACAACTAACTGTAGTTGTCATGTAAGCTGTATATGTAAGCTTTGGTCTAGACTTCTATTAGAAAAGAGGAGCTTCAGCTGCCATCTTCAGTCAGTAAATGAATGAACAAAGGTTCTGGAAGCTCTGGTGAAATAAAGTTTCAGTGTTCTCTGTACTTGTCCCTTCCACTTTCTACTGTTGAAATACTGCTGCCTAAACAAGCATTTGTTGCTCACTTCCACACACTGTGGTTTAGGTTGCTGTTGTACACCAGTGCAGAATGCTATTTCCCATCACATTATTTCATTATTTCACATATCAACACTTCCAGTGGCAACTCTTATGAAGAGATTGCCAAGGAATGGCTAAGTGAAAAAACTCTAGTTATGCAAACTATTTCATCAGTAATTTTAGCATTCTGAGTTATGACAAATTCCAATGATGCTTGCATGATTAATTAATAATTATGTTGCATCAAAATGTGAACATTTGGGGTGATTAAGCCATTGTATTAAATCCCACTTTCTCATATTGGATCTCATCTCACTTGGATGAGAAACACACCATGAGCTGCAGTGTGTGCTAGCAGCCCAGAAAGACAATGGAAACCTGGGCTGCATCCAAAGAAATGTGGCCAGCAGATCAAAAGAGGTGATTCTTCCCCTCTACTCTGCTCTTACCAGACCCCACCTGGAATACTACACACAGTTCTGGTGTCCTCAATATAAGAAGGACATGGAACTGTTGGAGCAAGTCCAGAGGAGGCCATGAAGTTGCTAAGAGGACAGGGGCATCTCCCCTATGAAGACAGGCTGAGGGAGTTGGGGCTGTTCAGCCTGGAGAAGAGAAGACTGTGTGGAGACCTTAGAGCAACTTTTCAATATCTGAAGGGCCTACAAGGGAGCTGGAGAGGGACTCTGTGTTAGGAACTGCAGTGATAGGACAAGGGGTAACGGGTTCACACTGAAGGAGGGAAGTGTACGGTAAATGTTAGAAAAATATTTTTCCTTTGAGGGTGGTGAGACAACTGGTACAGGCTGCCCAGGGATGTGGTGGCTGCCCCAACCCTGGCAGTGTTCAAGGCCAGGCTGGACGAGGCCTTGAGCAACCTGATCTAGTGAGGAGGTGTCTCTGCCCAGGGCAGGAGGTTGGGACTAGATGATCGTCCATTCCAACCCTTAAATTCTATGATTCTATGACATGTCCTGTCTCTAACGTATCCATTTCTTTGTGCTTATGAATCATTGTCTAAATTTAGATCCTGAAAGCCTTATACTTTGCTTTAGTCTCTTTTGTCTGCTTAACAGCCAAGTGTCTTGTTTCATCTTCTTATGTCCTGAGAACCTATTCTGATGCCATGCTTGTTTTTCAGTCTAGACGAATACAAAATGAAGGAAGGATTGTAAACTGGAAATTGATTTTGCATGGCACTGCTACCCAGCCTGAACATATGAAGCAGCCACGTGTGTATACATCCTACAATGCTGTGCAAAATGACAGAAGAGGAGTGGAGAAGATGACAGACTCTCTAGAGGTAGAGTTACATTAATTTTTTTCCCCTACATTTTTTTCCAATTGATAATAAAATTTTGGGTTTTTTTCCCCTAGTCAGAAGACAAATACTCATTCTGTATTTGTTTCATCTAACCCCTGATCACTTTTGAGTTGTGTATCATAATTTTGCCCATGTGAACAACTGAGATTTTTATTAGTCTCTGTTTTTATATGCCAAAATCCAAGGATTTTAGGATGGCAAAAGGATGTTGCTACTGAAGCAGGAAACTCTATAGCTAATGTGGTTGACTGGTACAAGAAAGGAGGAGAACACCTGACAGACACACTGAATTTGTGTAATTCTACTGAGAAGTGTCTGATCCAAAATGAGTGCTTGACAAAAGTCAGGGACTCACTGATCCAGAAGGTCTTGCTCAGCGGATCTGTTGCTGCCAGCACCTTTATCACTCCCTCTTTACCCTTCAAGTAGTGTTCTCTAAACCTACTACAGGTTTCAGGATGCACAGGATTGTAGTAATAGACATTTTCACAGTGCCTGATTATGTCAATAGCTTGGGAATACTTCATTAATCACACCACATCAAACTGTCACCCCGTTAAGTAATTAGGACGTCCATAAAGTATTGAGAGTTTGACCTTCCTCAGACAGGTTATGCAAGAGAAGCTTGAGGCTGACATGATTATGGTCTTTAAATACACTGCCTAATTGTCTGTGGGTCTGGCAATCACAGGCAAGAAAATAAACTGGAAGAAAGTAAAAGTGGACTCAGGAGGTACTGTAGGAGAAGATGGGTGGACATGGGGAAAACCAGATGAAGGTAAAATGAGTGTTCAGTGAGAAAGACAATCCTGGGGTAAATGAGGAAGCTATGCAGCCACATGCTGCTGTTGAAGCAAGATCATACCTCACACCAACTTCTCTGTGCACTTGTGTTTGAGATTGGTCTTCCAAGGTTTCCAAGAGGCATGTCATGACCACCCATTAGCCATACTTCACTGTCTTTTTCTCAGGTGAGATCATTTAAAGAGAAGGTTGTATGGAAGCACTGGTTCAGACCTTTTCACAAGTGTGTGAGGCACAATCAGAGCTGCCATCACCACTGCATATATATTACTTTCATTTTAACTGCTGAGGAGCTGTGTCCTGTTGTACAACCAGAAATGCCTCTTAAGACTGTGTGGAATCTGAATTTATTACTACCTATGCTGTGGGAGGAATTTGATATTTTATACAATATAATTCTTTGATGATCTGTTTTGGTCCTTAGTGGTCTAGTTGTTTTCTAGATGCCAAGTGTCTCCTGAATGAAAAAAATAACATCTGCCCACACACAGATGTAGATCACTAACAAAAGCAAACCTTAATCTGGTCAGATTTTTATCGACACCTAACCTTCTTTTTGTGCTAATCTGTGTTCTAGGACCATACCACACTGGAGAACCTGACTGAAAAACCCAAAATCACAGAAGATACCACTAATAGCAGTGACAAAGCAGAAGATAAAATCCCATCAGAGGCTATGCTACATTTACTGCAAAGTGCTTTTAGCAGACAGATGGCCCCGAAGCAACTGCCAAAGAAGACTACAAGTGAGAAGTCAAATATTCCATATGAACACTTCTATCAAGCCCTCAAAAAATTGAACAAGCCCTCCCAGCTGAGAGGCTCAGAAGAAAGTCTGTACAGTGACTACGTTGATCTTTTTTACAATGCCAAACCTTACAAGCATAGAGATGATAGACTGCTGCAAGCGTTGGTCGATATCATAAATGAAGGAAACTAAACTGTAGGGTGTGGCACTGAGTTGGAAATATTCATTCTCCCCACCTGTAGTTTTTTTTTCCAAAGTCTGTGTATGCTCTAGTTGTGTGATTGCTGCTTTGATTGCTTCATATTTAATGCAAATACCAAGGAAGGAAAAAACCGGGTGTGAGGGGATAAGGCAGGAAACTGACACTTTTTTGCTATTATCTTTTTCCAACGCCTTTCTTCTTTACCATCAGAGTAGATTTGCCCCCTCAGGCATGAAATGCAATAGTATTGCCCTCAAAACCCTAATGGTCTATTTGAAACAGTTCTCATATTCCTTATTCTTCCACCCTCTTCACTTCAGCATGCAGTAGGATTCAAAACCTGAATTACCAAGCAGTTTTGAACCAAACTGCCAAAGCTATGGGGATATATTCTCATCCATGGATTTGTTGTGAATATTGAAGTATTTGTTGTATTTGTCATTTATTCCCGATTTAATACCTGCATCCAGTACTGCTTCTGTCATAGGTGTTTTTTTCCTTGTCCAGACAACAATGCTCCCTTACCCTTCTGTTCTCCTGTAAAGGAATGTCTGGGAGGCTGGAGTTGGACTGGGGCATCAGTGAACACTGATGAAGTTATTCACAATTTAGACTACAGACAGACACACTAAAACAAAAGAGCCCCAAATGAGGCATCCCAGGCCATGGGATGACATTCTCTCTGCCTAATTTTTAACTACCTAAGTGAAGTGCCTGAATTATGAGCCTAGTCTCTCTAGGCTGTAAGTAGCTGATGAGGACAGAGCCTCCTATAGATAGCACTTCAGAGCACTTGGCTAAAGAAATCTTTACACAAGTTATGAATTGCCTGATGGAGTACTGACCTATTTGTGTCAACTAGGTGAGCTTTGGGGACCACCCTCCTACCTGTGGAGCCTCAGTTAGGTTTCTAAAGTGATGTAACTACCTTCTGAGATGCCTACATCTGCAGTAGACTGGACAACAAATATGGAATCCCTTCATCCTTCCCTTGAACTGTGACCAAAGTGGAACAGAAGGGGTAGCTGTTCCAGAAGACTCCACTTAAAGACTGTATCTTGGGGTGTCTGTGGTAGATTGTAACATTTCCCAAATATCTAGGAAGGCAAAATGGATGGGAAGAGATGTGAGATTAAAAAACATACCCAGAGAAGGGTGT